TATATGTAGTACATAGAATATTCAATATAATATAATAAATGAAAAAATATACAGTTTAAAAACCTAATAAATTTGAAGTGTTCAACTTTGAAATTTTATTACACATTGTTGAAGACTTCTTTGTACACAACACTTTTAGCCGTATTTAGATATGGTACATTTTCTCCACAAATCAAAATTTTTAAACTCATTGGCTTACTAATTCTTGAAACAGCTATGTACATTTGCTCATGATTAAAGATCGACTTTTTTAAAAACAATCTCATTTTTTATAGTGTTTGCCCTTGAATTTTGTTTATTATCATGGCATAAGATATCATAAAAGGATTTTGCATTATTTTTGGCCTTAAAGTATATTTTTTTTATAAGTACATTATTGAAATAATAAAAGTACCTTATTGTATATATACTATCAAATAATATAGCTTCAGTAAAAAAAAGTACTTTTAGTATATTTAAAATGTACATGATATTCATGATCCACACAGCTAGTTGGACCATGATCAAACAATAATTTGCATTTAAATAATCAGACTTTATTAATATAATATTAATATAATATAATACATTAATTAGGCCTTAATATATGTTAACATTATAATTTAAGGCCTAGAACATCAACCTAACCCAGACCGCTGACCTGGCCTAATAGCTCGGAGTATATAATCAGTTTTTGCTCTCATTTTTTACCCTAGCACCGACCGTTCGTCTTCTTTCTCATCTCTATCCCGCCTTTGCCGATCTCATTAGCTTGGTCCGAATCTCTACACTCCTATCTCAAATCAAATGTCTCCGACCAATTTTTGGTTGTAGACTACTGGCAATTTGTTTGTCGAGGTTTTATTTGGCAGCAAGAACAATTCAATTAAATGTATACTATTCGTGTTAAAATTGATTTGGATTAAGTGTTGATGAACAATTCTACACATGTACTTCATTTTGATTTTTCTTTCTTTTTATGATTTCTTAGCTACAAATAATGTTTCTTAAGTAGCATTTATACTTATATATATTGAAATCCCATATTTCCTTATGGTATCCTAAGTCTTTAGATTTAGCAATCTGGAGAATACATACCAAAATTGAAAAAAATTCCTTGTGTACATAAGGTCAAAGAAAATATGGGACATTCATCTTTACATTTTCAATTTATGGCAGAGCAATAGAACATTCATCCGATGCCCTATAGTTGTTTTTATGGCAAAACAATAGAAAACTAAATCGAACAGTGAAGTTTGTTTTTTTTTGGATTTTTTAATAGAGCTAAAGGGGTACAAATTAGTGTTTTTCAACCACTGTTTGATTGATCATGTATGTATGATTTAAACATTGTTTTGTTTAAAATATCAACTCTTCAACTTTCAATTTCTTTTTAAAAATTGCCCTAATATTTTGGCAGAGTTTTCAAAACAGTAGACAATCAATGCTTGTTTTGCAGTAATTTCTGTTTAAGTTAAATATTTATAATTTTAATATTTCAAGTAGGGAAAAACAAAAACAAAAACAAAAAAAGTAAGCTAATTTATGCAAATGAATTAATTATTGTCTAGATTCTTTTTTGTCTGAAAAATATACTGTTTTTTTAGACAAAATAAAATTAGGCAAAAAAACAACCTAGACAAAAATTAATTCATTTGCAGATAATTTTTTGGTCTAAAGAGTAGTAACTTAGTTTTTTGTCTAGATTATTTTAGGCAAATTTGTAATACTGATTTTCTTGTTTCACCAAACAATATATCAAAGGTGATATAGTTTCAGTCTCTAAATCCCAATAATAAGTTAAATTTTTCTTGTTTAATGGTTTCCAATTTTGACATTTTATGCCCTTGGATGAAGAAAACTAATCCATCATGCATTTTTTCACAACACCAGATTCTTGAGTCTCAATTTCATTCCTTTTTAAGTGATCTGCAGTGATTGGACTGTTGAACTCATCAACTTTAGATGCTTCCTGAAAATAAAATTCAAATATACATTACAAAATAATGTAAAAATTTGTGTTATAGGAGGACTTGAATAGGTGGTAATATTATTACCAGATCAGAGTTTTCTTCATCTTCCTCATCCTCTTCTATCATCTTAGAAATTAGGTCCTTGTCTTGTTGGTCCTTCAACTTGGACCATTAGGTGGCAACTAACACTTCATTCCTCAACACTCTCAACAGACCCTCATTTGAAATATTACAGTGTATATATTCTCCCTGGAAATAGCAGGAAAAATAAGAATTCATATGAATACTGTATTTCAAAAGTTGCATTTTATGTAAGTATAAATACAACCATTTCATAAAAAATTAACCTTAGTTTAATCATATAGCCTGAAACAGTTTACATAAAAGAACAATGAGATGAATGAAATGTTTACCTCCTGATCATGAACAGAAATAAATGACCTCAAGTTATCATATTGACTGCATCACAGCTTCAATGTTGTTTGCTGTCAAGATTTTATTTATAAAATTGAGTTCCAAGAAATTCAATTTGTATATGTTAAAGACCCAATTTTCTACCACATTCAAAGCATTGATTAGTGTAAAATAATGATTACTACTTGAGATTTGTATTCTCATTGAATATGTTTTGAAGTCTTAAGGTTTTTTTTGAATGTACTGCAGAAGATAGTCACATGGAAAGCACATCACAAAATCATTAAAAAAAATGACTGAAGCCAATGCATTATAAGTTTAAGCCATCACTAACAGGTATTATTTCATGGTACCTTTAGATTCTTTTTCTTGCCCCCAAAAGCAATAATTTACTGCAATATTAGAAGAGTAAGCAAGTTAGAAGATGTCATGTCAATGTCTGTAATAGTAGTATAATATGGGATAAAAAAGATTCATCAACACATTGGTGACCCAATTTGTCAACCGGACACTGTGAAAGATGGTTTTCAGGTATGAAACCAAGCTCAAATTGTTTTGGTTGTTTTTGCTGGAATTTTGCTCTATGTTACTTGAAATTAGCAGGAAACAGAACACAAAAAATATTATGGAAAACAAATGCTGTTAAGAATACATTCTGATCAGGGGTAAAAAAAAATGATTTACCTCTGGATCTCGGAACAAAGATTCCTTACTCTTACTAATTTGGCCTCTTCTCAATTCCTCCGGGAATGCATGAGTTGTTACTAATCTAACTCAGATTGACCTCTTAGTGTGGAGATGAATGATTTCTTGGCAAAGAGATTTCTGTACTAACAGGTGCTTCAGAAGTGGATAGATGCAGATATTGGCCAGATTCTTCTTGACAAAGGATTTATAGAGGATGAAGATATTGTGGTCTCTTCGAAAAAAAACAAAGTGTCTTGGAAGTATGAAAATCCACCAAAACGTTTCAGAATCCAAGAGCAGATTCATTATTGTTATGTTCAATTAAATTTAAAAGAAATTTAAATTAGATCTGATTTATTAGTAGTGTTGCAGGTTTGTTTCTCGATGCAATAGGACATTGGAAACCGAAAGGTTATGTAAATACAATAAATTCTACACAGATATTTACTTACCTAAAATGACCCCTTTTGTGTGGGCGGGAAAGTGTTTGAGGCAGAAAGTTACTGCTTTATTATAATGATAGATATTCTAAAATTAGCTCATAATATTCATTTATTGACATGTCACCCTTTTTTTTAATTTTTTTTTTATTACGGTATGAATTTTTTATAACATTTTTTATTTAATTAGTAAATAATTTATGGAGGATTCAATTAATTCACATATATATACTAAAGGGAAAATCACACTTTTGATCGCTCAATTAGTACCACATTATAATATTATCCTTATTTTTTAATTTGGACATATCTGGTCCCTCAATTAGTCTAACGTTAATCAATTTAGTTCTTCTGTGAGTTAATCACCCTTAACTCCATTTAGACTAATGGTATAATTGGAATTTCACATAGCATTGATTATTTGCCGTCTACCATTTCCTCCGCCACTCAGCTATGTAAAATGTCACAACACATCTTTCCGACTAAACAAAGGCTTAAGTTTCTTTGCTTGTCCAATTCTGCACTGTATACCTTCTTCCACTCTAGAACACAATCTGCCATCTAAGAGCTGCATTTCTCCTGCAGTTTCTAATGCTTTACAAACCAGAACATAAGTATATTTCCTTGGAATTGATCCTCCTTGCACCAACTCAACAAGCAAATCCCATGCCTCCTAAACCCAAGCACCTCCATTTGCTCCAGTAAAAACTTGGCTTTCTTGATGTTCCCAACTCTACAAAGTGCATATATGACAGTGTTGTAAGCATAGACATCAGGTCTGCAGTGAAATTGTTTCATCCTGTAAAAGGTGAACAATGTTTCGTTAACTAGTCCTTCCTCTCCCAAGACTTTTATCAAACAGGTAATGGTCAGTTTTAGATTTCTCCAATGGAGTTACAAACAACACAAAACAGAGAAGATGAAGAAAAAAGGAATAGTTGCATGGAGATGGAATGAAGGGAAAAATATCTTTCTCTAACCACTTCAAAGAAACTATAGTTTATGTATTTATACAAGGGACTAAAGGATCTGTTACGTGAGTAGATGTACTCTAACAGATTAATCACAGCTGTTCAACTGATTTATTTTCTACTACTTGATGTACACCATCTTCACGTGTATCTCTATCTTCACGTGCACCATCCTTCAATATGCCCCCGCAAGTTGGAGCATATATGTTATGTATGCCCAACTTGGAAGTGAAATTAAGAAAGGATCCAGGGGGTGAGGTTTAGTGAAAACATATGCTAATTGTTGTCCTGTAGAAACATGCAGGAGCTTGAGGAGACCTTTCTGCAACTTTTCTCTAACTAGATGGCAATCTAACTCTATGTGTTTTGTACGCTCATGAAAGACTGGGTTCTCCGCTATAGCGATAGCTGATTTACTATCTGAGAATAGAGCTGGGGGAGAAGCAGGTTGCATTCCTAAATCTTGTAGTAAAAAACTGAGCCATTGAAGCTCGCAGGTTGCACAGGCAATGGCCCTACATTCTGCTTCCGCTGACGATCTAGACACTGTTGGCTGTTTCTTAGACTTCCAAGAAATGAGACTGGAGTCTAGGAAAATACAATATCCTGTGACTGAACGCCTAGTGTCGAGGCATGTTGCCCAATCTGAATCACTAAAGCCCTTTAAAACCAAAGTGGAAAAAATCGAGTAGAATAATCCTTGTCCAGTGGTCCCTTTGATGTACCGCAAGACTCTGTGGGCAGCCTTTAGGTGCAATTCTGTTGGTTGATCCATAAATTGGGAGAGTTGTTGTGTAGCAAAAGAAATATCTAGCCTGGTAAGAGTGAGGTAGATCAATTTTCCAACAATGCTTCTGTATACCAACAGATCATCAATAATGGGACTGTCATTCTTGTGTAGCTTCACAGAGGGAACCATCGGGCTGTGGACTGGTTTGCTGTCCAGAAACCCAGTTTCCTCTAACACTTCAAGAGCATATTTTCTTTGGGACACATTGATACCAGACTTGTTTCTTGCAATTTCCAATCTAAGGAAATATTTTGCAGCTCCTAAATCCTTGATCTTAAAAGTGGAATGAAGGTGAGCTTTAATGTTTTGTATTTGTAATTCGCTGTTGCTAGCTAACAGTATGTCATCTACATACACTAGCAGCGCAATGAAGGAATCACTTGTTCCTTTAGTGAACAAGGAGTGATCTGAACCTGCTTGGACAAAACCCTGTGCAAGAAGCTCTGTTGTGAGCTTGATGTTCCACTGTCTACTGGCTTTTTAAAGACCATATAAGGATTTCTTAAGTCTGCAGACTTGCCCAGGTTTAGGAGGATTGCAGCCTAGAGGTGGGGCCATGTATACTTCTTCATCAAGATCCCCATGCAAAAAAGCATTATTGACGTCCAACTGGTGTAGGAACCAACCTTTAACAGTAGCCACAGCAAGAAGAGTTCTTATAGTTGTCATCTTAGCTACTGGGCTGAAAGTCCCAATGTAGTCCAACCCAGGGATTTGGGTATAACCTTTAGCCACAAGCCTGGCCTTGTAACGTTCAATACTGCCGTCTGGATTATGCTTCACTTTGTATACCCATTTGCATCCCACTATTTTCTTAGACGGGGGCATGTCTACAAATTCCCAAGTCTGATTAGTTTCCAATGCTGAAATTTCATTATCCATAGCTTCCTTCCAGCAAGAGTGTCCAACAACTTCTTGATATGAAGAAGGTTCTTTAATGGATGAGATGTTCACAGAAAAGACTTTGTGAGCTTGCGATGGACTGTTATATGACAGGACCTTTGAAACAATGTGTGGAGTGGTTTTCGTGTGTTCTGCGGAACATGCATAGTCATCAAGATAGACTGGTTTAACTCTGTGCCTGTTGGACATTCTCATCACTGGTTGAGGGGATGTATGGATTACATTTGGTTGAGCATCGTGATTAGAAGGACTGATGGACAATGAAGTGTCTGCCATGGGACATTGGTTATTAGACATTGTGGTGTCTGTTCCATGAAGTGTGGTTTCTAGACTATCATCTGAAGTGTGGTTTTGTATTGTTTGGGGAACATCTTGGGAAGGTAAGGGGTGGGGTTGGGGTAAGATGAGGTATTCTGGAGCAGTAGAAGGTGTTAAAGAGAAAGGAAACACACCCTCATGGAAAACGACATCTCTAGACATGAACACTTGTCTAGTAGTTAAATCATACATTTTGTACCCCTTAACTCCATTGGTGAACCCAAGAAAAATACACTTTCTAGCTCTGGGACTGAACTTTGTTCTATGAGTAGAAAGTGTTGAAGCAAACGCTAAACAACCAAAAACTTTCAAGTTTGCGTAGGAAGGAATTTTACCAAAAAGGATTTGTTATGGTGTCTGATTTTGAAGGACCAAATATGGCAGTCTGTTGATTAAGTAGACAGCATGGATGACGCAATCAGCCCAAAATCTTTCTGGGAGGTTGGCCTGAAATTTGAGAGCTTTGGCAACAGCTAAGATGTGCCCGTGTATTCGCTCTACCACACTGTTTTGTTGAGGGGTTTCAACACAACTTGTCTGATGAATGATTCCCTTTTTAGCATAAAGTGAAGGCATGTTGAATTCCTGACCGTTGTCACTACGGGAGCTCTTGACAGAGGTAGAAAACTGAGTCTGGACAAAAACACAAAAATTCTGCAGCAGCCCCCTTCTCTCACTTTTGTGTTTTAGCATGTATACCCAAGTGGATCGGCTATAGTCATCTACTATGGTGAGGAAGTAAGAATCACCATAAATTGAGGATACACGGTTGGGCTCCCAAATATCAACATGAATCAACTCAAAACAATTATTAGTAGTTGAAGTGCTCAGGGGAAACTGTAATCTCTTTTGTTTAGAAAAATGACATATTTCACATATAGTGTTTCTTGAGGCACATATTGAAGGATCTAAGCCTTGTAACACTTTAATTCTAGGGTAGGATGCATGTCCTAGCCTAAAGTGCCAAGTGTCTATACCATTGGCAGTTTTATTCACAGTATTTACAGCAAAAAACATTCTGAGGAATGGTATGACTACTTGAGATGTTTTCATCAGAATTAACAAGAACAGTAAATGATGGTGAGACCAGCTTGTATAAGCCTTCCTCTTATTTAGATAGTCCAATCATCTTCCATGATTGAGAGTCCTGAATGATACACTGATTAGCCTTCAAGAAAATCCACCTTCTACCATCTCTTAAGATTTGGCTGATAGAAATCAGATTAAAATGGAAGCCAGGCACACAATACACATTATGCAGTGTAAAATCCTTAGAAAAGTACACAACTCCTACGTGTGTCACGAGTGCTTGATGACCATTTGGTAACTTGATGCATATGTGCTTGATGGGTTCATAACGAGAGAAGAACCGGACATCACATACAATGTGGCAAGTGGCTCCTGTGTCAATTAACCAACTAAGGGAATCAAACTGTTTTTGAGAATAAAACTTACCATAAGGCTCCTTGTGTGATCCAACGTCGTAATCAGTAACATTGACTTGATTTGCCACGGGGGGGGGGGGGGGGGGGGGGGGGGTTTCGGTTTTGTGTAGGATTGGAATTTTGTCATTCTTTGCCAATCAGGTACAAAATCTTCTCATGCTGGTCTCTAGTGAAACCTCTTGTGTAGTCGTGTCATCCTGAGCTTGTGACACTTGAGCAGCATTAGCTACCCCTCCAGCTTTCCCTTTTCCTTTGTAACCAGGAGGGTAACCGTGTTTTTTTTATAACAGTTTTCAATTGTGTGACCTGTAAAACCACAGAAGCTACACACAACAGTCTTCTTGTTATTGTTACTGAATCTCCTGTTGTTGTTGTTGTTTCCAGACTGGTCTGTGTTGGCAAAAGAGGCATTGACATAGTTTGTATTTATCATGTTGTTACTAGCAGGAGGGGTATTGTTTACTAGATTCTCAATATATGGTGTGTTGGGGAAAATTTGCCTCTCTTGAACCTGTAGCATGGAACATACTACCCCCATGCTTGGGAGTGGTTTCATCAACAGGATCTGTGACCTCACCCCTCCATAGAGTTGACTGTTTATCCCTTTTAGGTACCTAGCAGTTTGATCATCTTGAATGTGGTTTTTGATTTTGTCAAAAGCTCAACAACTACATATAGGATCACAAGTGCAAATAGGGAGAGGTCTAACATTATATAGTTCATCCCACAGGAGTTTCAGTTGAGAATAGAATTCACTCACAGTATTGCCTCCTTGCAGCAGATGATATATTTCTTCGTTGATGTCGGCGATTCTAAAAGCATTTCCCTGGCCGTACCTCTTCCTGAGATCATTCCAGACGTCTTCCGCGGTCTCCATCCACAGAATTCTTTGAGCTATGCTCGGAATGACAGAGTGCAAGATCCATGAAAGCACAAGGTTGTTAGCTCTGCTCCATGCATGAAAACTCCTTTCTGTTTTCTCTGGCCTTTTGTTTTCTTTATTTTCCTTGTTTTTCCCTGGTTCCACACACATTTTCACCTACATCTCTTGCACCTAGCCTACTCTTGTCGACACATAGTGACACGTGATTGTCTTGCACTTTGCTTACTCCGATTTGCCATCCTTGACTTTGACACTCGGGGGTTCCACAAGCCCCGTTTACACTTACATGCACTTTACACATCCATTCCATACTAAAACTGCAAACATCAAAATGGCGTCATTGCCGATGATGGCAATAGGTGCTAAGTAAAGTGTGCTTACTATGACAATCTAGGAATGTGTTGTTTTTGTACATATTTTGTTTGCTACTTGCTTTGGAAGTGGGCACCAATACCTTGGATGTCATATTTTCTCGCCTTGCAACTACTTTTAGTTGCAAGTATACTTGCTTGGTGAAGCTTTTGTGCAGGAAATTTTTCAAAAACATAGTTGTTGAGCTCACCAATGAATAAGGATTCTATCCTTATGGATGTCCACCCGGAGGAGAAGTATCATTGAAACAATTCCCACCGTGCACTTGTGGACATCACCACATTATAACCCTTATACATACCATCATCCACTATACCTTCCACTTCACTACCACTCACCATATTCACCATTTCCATTATTCCATTTACCACCATCACCATATCAATTTGAACCCTAACATATTTACCCACCTCAACTACCTACCCAATGGAATGACCACCTCCAGACAACCCACCATACCTTCATGTTGAGCTTGAGTTCCTTGAGAGGAAGTGGCACAAGACCATTCATAAGGAAACAGAACAATTGCTCACCCTCAAGACCGAAGTCAAAAAGGAAGTAGGGGAAGAGTTAGCTATCTTAAAGGATGTTATGTTGCAACCTTTGCAACGGTTGGAGGAAACTCTGTGCCGCTTGATAAGGAAACTCACTACACACATTAGGATGGAGGACCAAGCTACTACGTTAAGGAGTATTGAACCATAGAGGGCCAAAGATATTCCCGTGCTTGAAGAGGTTCCACTCTACGAATTGGAAAAATCACAAGGAGTGGATGAAGCTAGTGAGGATGAGGAGAACATCGAGGTAGTATGGGAAGACGACGAGCTAATTAGTAACATTCTTAAACTGTCTTATGTCATTCCATTTGAAAACCTAAGTAGTTGGGACAATGCTTCTTCTCATTCTTTTGATGAGTTCTATGATTGTGTAGATTTAGGTTGGGGGGATGAAGCGAGTTTTGATTGTGTTGACGAGGGAGGTATACCAAATTGTGAAGTAGTCATTTGAAGCAACAAGGTTGGGGGTAGAATGATTAGAATGAATGTAGAAAACAAGCAAAATGGTGGTGGATTTAGAAATCAAAATTTGGAAAGGAATAAGGGGGTAGAAAATGACAATGGCCTTAGGGTGTTTGCTGACATAGATGTTTGGAGGAAGGGAGACAATGAGGGTGGAAAGGATGGAAAGCTACATGAAGAAGGGCACTACATCTTTAAGGGGGGCGAGCCTAATTCCATATGTATTACCCTACTTGTTCTTAGATGATTTTGTGCACCTTGTTCTTGTGTAAACATTAGAGAATGCCCGTCACTTAAGGGCATTTCTCAATGCTAAGGTGAATGGGACACATGGTTCGGTTCCCTTCTTTGTGTGCTTCGATGTGTAACCTACATTTTCGTCTAGCCTAAGACGTTAAACGTGGCGCTTCTTGGGAGGCAATCCAAGTAATAAGTGTTTTTCTTTTATTGTGCATTTTTCCTTATGTTCGAAGTTGTTTTGTTTGGTACTTTTTTGAGCTAACATTGCAAGTGAATCGCTAAGGAAACATCAAAGGAGCCAAAACAAACCCCAACACAACTCTACAACGAGCGTTGGAGGATTCTAGAAAGATCAACGCAATCAGATCAGAGGATGATCCAACGCACGTTGGGAAAGACGTTGAAATGAAATAGAAACTCTACGCACTGTTGGACGATGCGTTGGACGCACAGAAACCCTACGCGGGAAATTTTTGCTATTTTAAGTCCTCTTCTCCACCATTCAGCCGCACTCCCACTTAAAATCTCCATTCCCACAAAAGGTATACTCTAGCTTCCTATTTTCTTCCATCTTTGAGAGATTCCAAGGATCAATTGTTTGTAGGAACCTCCATCCAAGAGGTAAATGCTTTAAATCTTAATCTCCATTAATGTGTTTTTCAAGCTTTCTCTCCCTAAACTCATGAATGCTAGTCTACATTATGATGAGTATAT